GGCACTACTACCTGCTAAATGTTCAGTGAGGTTTCTTCACTGTGGCTGCTCAAAGCTCAAACATCTCCTAACTCTGTATGAAGTCTGGCATTTGATAATGTTATACATTGTCAGTAGTTGTACTTTCCCTGTTCATTGTTATTTTCCTGGTCTTGTGTGGTTTAATCCTATTCATGTGTAGTTTATTATAACAACATACAGTCAAGGAGAAAGACCCCCATGCAGATTCCTGGAGCTCTACTTTATTTATTTATTATTTTTTTAGATTTCATTTATTTTACAGAGAGAGACACAGAGAGGGAACACAAGCAGGGGGAGTGGAGGAGAGAGAAGCAGGCTTCCCGCGGAGCAGGGAGCCCGATGGAGCTCGATCCCAGGACCCCGGGATCATGACCTGCGCCGAAGTCAGACGCCTAATGACTGAGCCATCCAGGCACCGCCCTGGAGCTCTACTTTAATATAACTTTCTCCTGTGGTACTTGGCCCTACAAACTTCAGCTGCCCTACAGATACTCTGAACTTGTATCTGTTTCCTCGACTTAGTGAGTCTGCTATGGTATGCTTATAGATTCCTCTGTTTGGATTCCCCTTCTTGCTTTGTGGTTCAGAAGTTGCCTCCAAGCAGAAAGCTAGGGCAATTATAGGATTCTTCTTCTTATAAGGATCATAGTCCTATACGGCCTGTTATCCAGTGTTGTCTTACATAGTTTGTTCAGTTTTCTAGTTGCTTATGGTAGGACAGTAAATCCATTCCATTTACTCTGTTTACAAGCAGAAATGGAAGTTATTTAACATATTCATTTCTATAGTAAAATTATTTCATATTCAAAATCATTTATGTCAATCTCTAAGAATAAATCCTCCAATTGCAAACTAAGTGAGCTTGCTCAGGATTGTAATATATTGATTATAATGGTACTTTTATAGGCAAGCTAGCTAAGAGAAAACTGTTCCAGTAGATGCTAGTTTTGTTTCAGTGTAAGTTAGTATGTTAGTATAGTATCACTGACTTTAAGCAAGTTGGTGTATGTTTGTGTATATGTCTTCTATTTTTATAAAAGACTTACTGCTATTTTTTCCATTACTTTTTTAATCTCTCTGTATTAAGAAGAAAATAGTAGGTACATTATTAGCTTAACCCTGAAGAGAGTTTTGTAGCAAAACTGCCAATTTTTTTTTAAAAAATTTTATTTATTTATTTGGCAGAGAGATACACAGTGAGAGAGGGAACACAAGCAGGGGGAGTGGGAGAGGGAGAAGCAGGCTTCCTGCTGAGCAGGGTGCCTGACGCTGGGCTCAATCCCAGGACCCTGGGATCACGACCCGAGCCAAAGGCAGACACTTAACGACTGAGCCACCCAGGCGCCCCAAAACTGCCAATTTTTTTGTTTGTTTGTCTAAACCACCGGTTTTTAAGAAAGAAAAAAATAATGAGACACTGGCTGGCACTTTAATTTTATTTAGCAAGTAAACTTATGTACATTAGCGCTGTGGCAGACTTTGGCTACAGCTAAGGATTACCAGTTATTCAAAATGCAAACAAGAATCACTCAAAAACTATAGTAATAATCTTGTGCTTATCACTTCCACACCTCTCTGCTGAAGTAAAATATCTGGTTTTATTTTTCTGTTCCATGCAAAATTTAATTTATGTTATGCTAATATTTGGCTAAAAGTTTAATCCTAAATCACTTTAAAAATTCATGGTCTTGGGGCACTTGGGTGGCTCAGTCAGTTAAGCAGCTGACTCTTTTGATTTCAGCTCAGGTCATGATTTCAGGGTCCTAGGATCAGGCCCTGTGTAGGGCTCCTTGCTCAGCAGGGAGTCTGCTTGAGGATTCTCTCTCCCTCTCCCTCCACCCCTCTCCCCACCTCCCACCCCCAGCCCTGCTCTGGCATACACTCACTCTCTCTGTCTCTCTAAAATAAATCTTTATAAAAAATAAAAGTTCATGGTCTTTAGAGGGAGGGGCATACTGAGATGTAAAGCTATTATTTTTCTTTCATTGTTAATTTGAATAGTTTTGAGTATTTCTAAGCATTCTTAGGATACCCTGTCACCTATATATTAGTCCCGCAAAGCAATTCCAGCTGGGCAGCTATGTTGGCTTATTTGTAAATGAGATGTTTATTTCCACAGGAAAAGATTAGAGTTAACCCTCTGGTAGCATGTAATATGGTACCATCTATTAATGCCATGATAGTTCTGAGATTAGGAACATTATTCATTTTGGAGAGTTATCAGATACCTTCCTTCTTTGGTTTAGCTTAGTAATTGTATAGACTTCAAACGCCTCTTATTTGATAATCTAACTAGATTAAATTCTCTTATTTGTATTAAGCCCAGTTTTTCATACTGTATGATAATATTCCATGCTTTTCTAAGCTTTCCTTCCACCAAGAATTATAGAAGTGTGAATTATAGAATTCCTAAGGTCTGTAACTTGTAGAGGTAGATCCCCCCAGAGTGAGTCCTTATCTCTCCACCAGCTTTCTCTGCCTTCTTCGTTCGTATTAAAGGTGACTAGAACCAAAATGGCAGAGAGAGAGAGTGCCTTAGGCTATACATTTCTCATCCTCCAGACATTGTTTGTTCCCATAGCAGAAGGAGTAATTCTTGGTGACTGCAGCATCAAATGATGGGTGGCAGTTGCTTTCTTTGAGACTGGAGTCTTTCCTCAAGCAGAAATTAGATTGATCATTGCTATTTGTAGCTTCATTTCTGGATGGTGTTCACGGAAGAATCATTTCTGGGTCCACTGGTTGCAGTTGTGATATCACATAGCTTATTTAAAATTCTTTCGAGAAAGAAATCCATATGATACCGCACAGTGCTTCTTTCTTTTCTGAGGCAGGCATAGAAATTCTGCCTTTGACCAGCTCAGAGTGAGTTATTATATTGCCTAATGATACCCCAAATTCATTCAGTTTCTTAACCAGTTTCTTAATTCAGGTAACTAAAAGAGTAAATAAATCCCAAATTAATCTTCTTGCCCCCCTCACCCCACCCCCCACCCCCACCCCCATATGGAAATAATAATTCTATACTTGGTCCCAGAAGGAGCCTGTAACTCCCCAAAGTAAATACTGAAACTAATTCTATAGTGAGTACTATATTACTTGTGTTACTGTTTTCAAAAATAAATGTGCTGATTTAAGGGAAGACCTCAGCCAGGAACATATCAGTGTAGGGGAAGAGGTTTCCTTAACCCTCTTAGGCTCCCTGGCTGGATCTAAAAACTAGACAGGAAAGATTGACAGGAGAAAACCATACAAATTTATGTAATAGAAGTTTTACATGACCTGGGAGCCTTCATAAGGAAATGAAGACCCAAAGAAACAGACCTTTGTATTTTATGCTAGGTGTGATGAAGAGTGGGTAGTGGTGTAGAAATGTGGATAGATTAAGGAGTATGAGGTAATTGTTGAAAGTTGGGGAAAACTTTGCAAGTCTCTGGTTTGTTCAGATTCTTCTTGGTGTCCCTTTGTTTTTGGAGATAAGGATGCTTCTTCACTCTGCGTATAGGGGAGGCACCTCTCACATGAGGGTTTTATGACCTGTTTCAGGGGGAAAGGGTAGAGTGAGTGGGAGATCAGAGTGACTTTCCTGCTTCTGCTGTTTTCTCAGACTCCTTCAGCTTAAAATATTCAAATATGTCAAGGTGCCATGTTTTGGGGCTGTGTTTCCTGAACCCCATCATCAGCGATTCCCATGCTCACCCCCAGAAAAAACATCTCTTTATTACTTCTTCATACTGCTGTGACCATTGATGCTCTTACCACCGACTACATCCAAGGAATATTCTGATTCTCAAAATTTTGGGGATGGTGGAAGAAATTATTTTCTCTTACACCAGTAGCAACCAGATGAGCATTTTTCAAGAGTCACTTTACTAGGAATCAAAGGAAAAGTTAAAAAATAGAAATGTATAAGTTTGTAGAGCACAGATTTCTTATATCGAAGAAACTGAAGTTTAACTCATATTGGCTAAATTAACTTTCCCGGCATACAAATCAATTTCTTTCTTCTCTTTCTCACTTTGTCATGAAGCCTGTAGGATATTCAGGCAGAACCTATCTTTCTTTGAGGTTTTATCACTTTATCTGTTTCTCATAGATATTATTTGGACTTGGTCTTTTCTATCAGCCATGTGGCCTCTATGTCAGTTTTGAATCTGTTTATCCCCTTTTAGCAGCCTACTCTGAAAAGCAGAAAGACTTCTTTCTATATACTTCCAAGCTCCAGAGCCCTACTAGACTCTCTGTTTCCAATAGGAAGCATGCCCCAACTCTTCTTACTTAATGAGATTCTCTCCGGTAAACTCAGTCTTGTCTCTTCCTTTTCCCACCCTTCATACTCTTCAGAGAAATGGTTTTTCCTAAGGCTTAGAATATAATAGATATGTTCAATAGATAAATTCTATTGAAGTAATCACCAGAGTTATTAAAAATGCATATACTGAGTGATTGAATAATTAAAAGGAAACATATCCTTTCTTCTGCCAGATGAATAGTCACTTTTTTGGGGGGGGCGCTTTCCTGATACCAAATAGCGATCCATAGAGATTATGCCAGAGATGTTGATAGCATTTTACATCAGTTGTTTCATGAGAGGAAAAAGACTGAAGGGAGAGATTTCTGTGGAAAGGATTATGCATTTTGTTTTTCTCAAATTATTCTCATTTTTTGGTTTTATTTCAGTCTTTGTTTCTCTTGGTTTTCCTTCCAGTGGTAATCTATTTTTCTTTTATTTTTCTTTACATTTGAAATTTTCCTACTCTGTTTCGAATTTTATTTTTCTTATTCAAACTTAACCCTCAAAATATGGGATTTGGTGTTTAAAATTTATAGTTAAAACGTGTTAAAGTTGGTTCTCCACTTTAGATTCTATTGGTGTTTTAGGGTGAAGTGAAAAAAAGAAGGGTGAAAGGAAATTATTCTCTTGGACTACCCTCCAGGAAGTCCTTCTCTATACTTTAAAAGTTCTTATTCTTTTCTAGGAGTCCAATGTGCTGATTGCTGCTAACAGTCAGGGTACAATTAAGGTAAGCTATGGTATACATCTTCATTTTAAATTCAGATCCATTTTTAGACTCTAACAGACTATAACATGGAAATACAGAGTTGTACTAAGCCTTAGAGCTCATTCCAAGCCGTGGGTCTCTGTATGAAATGGCTTTGAGGGGAGGTTATATGAATGTCGAATAGATTGATAGTTGGTCAGAATGAAAAATAGATGAAGACTATTAAGTATTCACTGTGGGCCAAGCACTGCTGCTTCTGTTATGCAGGTGTAGTCAGCGGACAAAGTCCAAGGTAGAGCAGAGGATGCTGGGACATTCGCCAGATTTAAAAATATCTGGTCTTATTTTACTCTTCTCTTCCTCATGTTTGTCTTCCTTTTCTTCCCCTGCTAAGTAGGGTTTTCCTCAGTTGCCAAGGCAAGAAAAGGTATTTTAGGGTTTCACTGAAAATTGATCATGTGATCATTCCATTAGTTTAATTTGGAAATTTAAATGTCTCTTGGCACACAGTCTTAGTCACAAATTTTTTATGCATAGGTTTCCACATACTTTTCTTTGTAGTTAGGAGCTCAAGGAAGTAATAATGTTATCTGATTATACTATTGGATATTTAGCACTTGAGCATGACACACTAGATAAGTAAATCCTGAGCTAAGCAGTGAACTTTTTAAACAAAACACCATTTGGGGAGAGGGTTTTAGTACATGAGTTTGATTAGCACTAGTTCTGTGGGTGCCAGTTCTTTCTACATATTCTCTGCTGATACAGAAATATCAGGAAGTGATCTTTTAAAAATAATATGTATCTATGTCTTCTGCCACTTAGCATTAATTTTGCTGTGGCTTCCTTCCATTCATCCTGAGTGGAGAATGACCCAGCAACCAAGGGAACAAATCCAAGCCGAACACCTTGTCCTGTGGTGATGAATTGAGCAAACTCAAAGCAGAACTGCACTGTTAGCTGGTCAAACTAATTTGCATGTATACTCCTTTTTATACAGCTAGTTTCTTTATTTGGAAAGCCTCACTAGAGAGCCATGGGCAACTTAAATGAAAGCCAGGCTTTTGAACTGATTGTGTTACGTTCTGGAACCTCAAGCAAGATGGTAGAAGGTCTTGGAGTCTCTGTTTTATGTGGCTCTTTGTAGTCTCTCAGTTTTTCTCTATTCTCATGGCAAGGCATGTATTGAAAAAGCTGCACCTTATTTTTCAACAAGTTTGGCCTTTGAGGCAATTGAGATTGCTAACGTATCTGCAGAAAGCTCAAAACTACACAGGTACTTATAGAATCTCAGTGACAGCTCTTAAGATTTTGTTCAACAGCATTGACCTCTTTCGTTGAATCGGCTACTTGCCAAATATAAAGACAAAAAGCATCATGGAAGCACAGGCACAAGTTAAGCCTTAGCACAGCAGGAGGGGAAAGTTGCTCCTTTAGTTCTTTCCACCTAGAACTGCAGTCTCCATCGAACATAATCCTTTTGACAGTATCTTATAATTGTCCTCAGCTTCTGTGTCCTTTCTTAGACATTTCTTCAGCTGTTTTTATAACTGATCATTGCTGCTGCTGCTGCTTTTTACTTTTAGCAGTATGACAACTTTCTTGTATGACAAGATAGGACTTAAACTCTAATAACTAACACAATACCTTGACATCAGATGATTGACTTGAAAATGAATGAAGCGCTAGGAAAAGGCAAGATTTTAGGTCCTGTATACTTTGATTGCTATAAACTCTTTATCAGTGGAAGAAAGAAATAGATTAAAATCCTGAGCAGCAATACTTAAAATTTTCTTAAGAATATGGAAAGATACCAACATAAATTTCAAAACCGTTCTATCATCCAGTTCATTTTTCTGAATGTTTTATGTAGTTTAAAGGCTCTCTAGTTAGTTAACTGTGGAGCTAACTAATCTGAAAGAGTTCCTGCAACTGTTGAATTGAAAGGAAGGAAGGATCAATGTCTAATCCCTTCAAATTCTTTAGCATTTTAGCAGTTAGGAAAAGTTTTTTTGATTTGGTTCTCCATTTACAATACAGTAAAGATTCATTAAACTGTTTCCATATTTTAAAATGATTTTATTAAACTGATTCTTTTTTCCCTTTTGTCCCCCCAATTAGGTGCTGGAGTTGGTATGAAGGGTTTACTCAAGTTAAACTGTATTTGATCCTGCTGAAATATATCTGCAGCTGACAATGAGAGAAGACAAACTGTCATGTGATGTCTCTCCCCAAAGTCATCATGGGTTTTGGATTTGTTTTGAGTATTTTTTCTTTTCCTTTTCTTTTCTCCTTCATGACCTTTGGGACATTGGGACTACCCAGTGAACTCTCCACCATCAATGTAACTCTATGGACTTTGCTGCTGTTGGTGGTGTGGTTATCTAATTTTTGTGATAGGGAAACAAATTCTTTTGAATAAAAATAAATAACAAAAAATAATAAAAGTTTATTGAGCCACAGTTGAGCTGGGAAAGTCTTTGTCAAAGATGGCAAGAGATAATCTTTTCAAGAAGTAACACACATGAACTATGAATAATTTGTAAGGTCCGTATTTCCCAACCTCTTTGTAATTCTGCATATCAACATAAATGTAAAGGTATATGGATTCCCTTCCAGGGAATTGTATGTTTATAGTAGATGGGAAAATTAGTTAACTTTACCTTATGAATTCATTGACCAGATTTATATCATCAGCAAATACCATTCTTCAGTCCCTCTGGATCTGGCCAAGAATCTAACATTCTGACCAGTTGAGACCACATTCAAACAGAAAAGGAATGGGGCACCTGGCTGGCTTAGTCAGTAGAGCGTGTGACCAGGGTCGTGAGTTCAAGCCCCAGCTGGGTGCAGAGATTATGTTAATTAATTAATTAATTAATTAAAACAGGGAATGTCAGTCTGTGGCAGCTATTGTCTTTGCCTTTGAAATGTTGCCTATACCTACTGTGAGCCCTAAATGCAGACAAACCACCTTCAATTTGTAAAATCATAGCTATCAGGTAGTCACAGATATTAGTACCAGCCTCAGCTGAGCAGTGACTTTGAGCAGGGCTTAACAGACTTTCTGGAAAGGAGACCAGATAGGAGATATTTTAGGCTTTGAAGATCATGTGGTCTCTGCCATAATTATGTAATTGTAGCAGGAAAGCATCCATAGACTTAGTAGGAAAAGAATTTGAAGCCCCATTTCCCAAATCACCAAGGCATATAATATCTTAAACTGTCTAGTTAATTTTATGTTATTTTCAATTTGTAAAAAGGAAGAAGTTAGTAGTTTGAGTAGCAGGTCAAGCAAAAATAATGTGAAGTTTTCTGTTTGAGCTACTTTAAAAGTGTGAGCACTTTTTAGAAAAAGATATAAACAGAATTGTACCCCACACATATTTTATAAAAACAGACACTTCGAGAAGCTTGGTATGAATAAATACATGAATGGTAAGGGTAATTGGAGTATCCCACTGTATCCCTCTACACTCAAAATTATTGGGTCCACATTTCATTATCTGAAACCTTTGGGTCAAATGCATTTTGGAATTTAAAACCTTTTGAATTTTAGAAAAGTAATACTATATATTACATAACACCATCCAGCAGAGTCTGGAGCAATACTCTGTTATCAAACACATTAATGTTTGTAGCAAAATGTATGAATGTTCACATTATATGAGATTAATAAAGGTTAAAAGTAGTCTTGTATCAATTCAGACAGTTTTTACCAGCTAATGAGTTTGCCTCAAACTTAGGTGACATTTTCAGTTTGCAGAGCTTCAAGACAATTATATCTTACTAATTTTGGGGAGTGAAGCACCTGATAAACTTTTGGACTCAATTTTGAGAGGAAAGGTCACTATCATTCAAAAGTTAGACCTGTCAACCAGAACAATGTTAGGCAGCCTTCATTCTAAGATTAATGATGACCTTTTGCAAAGATGCAGAAAGAATATTCAAATGTAGATTCTTTACTTAAAGAACTTAAGCAGATATGTCCAGAAAATCATCAAAATGGGAAGCAGAGAATTAATGCCTCTTTGAGTGAATTTAAATAAAAGATTATTATGGTTTTTAATTTGGTCTGACTTTTTTTGTTTTATTTCAAGCTGTCAACATTGTAAGGTCATGTTAATTTCCATGTGTGTAGAAGGATACAATAAGGTACCTTTATTAGTTATCAGAGGGACTCAATTGTTAAATTATTTTTAAAAGGCAGTGTTTTACTTAAATTTGTGTTTTTACTTGTAAATGGGGAGAAAGCATTTTTTTTTTAAGATTTTCTTTATTTATTTGACAGAGAGAGACACAGCAAGAGAGGGAACACAAGCAGGGGTAGTGGGAGACGGAGAAGCAGGCCTCCCGCTGAGCAGGGAGCCCTATGCAGGGCTCGATCCCAGGACCCCGGCATCATGACCTGAGCCGAAGGCAGACGCCTAACGACTGAGCCACCCAGGTGCCCCGGGAGAAAGCATTTTTAAGTTTGAGTTAGTCTTTGAAAGATGGCAACATCAAACTATATCACTGTTCTTGGAAAAATAACATAATAGTTAAAACAATGATAATGTACATTTTTACCCCAAAAGAACTTCTAACTCAAGAAGAATATGGGTCCTCATGTTTTAATCTAATCTTTGTTTCAGTGGAATTGCGGGGGTTTCTTAGACATAGTTGAATTTATTCTCAGGCACACAGCTTCTACTTAAGAAACATTAAAGATTGAAGAACTTTGTAAAATTCTCATAAGAAAATTTGGCTACTAGACATCAAAAAATTTGCGATACAGAGCCACAGCTTCAGGAAGATGAGCGTGGCTGGGCCATTAAGCAAGGAAGAGATGAGCACAGGATGAGTCTGAAGGACTAGAGGAAGTCAGTAGATATACAGAGTCTTCTAGGGCGTGGTTAAGAATTTGAATTTTGTTATAGAAGCAGTTAATAGGAAGGGTTAAGTGGAATGACATGATTTTTATGGTGAATGGGTAGACAGGAACAAGCATGTGATTAAAAAGGTGATGAGTCAAGAGTTAATGGTGGCTCCAACTAAAGTGGTAGCATGATCCAACCTAAAAACCTACTTCAGGTTGAAGGAGTTTACCACAGTTTTAATTCCCTGTATCTTGGAGGATTCTTGATTAAAGTCATTTTCTCATAATAATTTGTGACAACAAAGAATACAACTCAGCAAATTTATTTCTTCAGTGGTTATACAATCCTCAACCACAGATGTGGCTCCTGAGAACCTCATGGCTAAAATGTCTGTGTGCTGTTTTGGAAACCTCACTTCTCCAGTCTCAGAACTAGAAGCTACTTAGCCTTGGTTCTGAATATAAAGGTAATTAATTGGCTATTGACCTGAATGTAATTACTCAAATGTAACAGGGATTTGTTAGAAAAGTCTGCTTACTTAGAAATGAGACTTGAGGAAGTGTTAACTTAGATCCTGAGCCTGTTGTGTTACATGACATTAAATACAACAGTAACACCTTATAGTTCCTCCCAGAGAGGTTAGTTACCAACCCCTCTGTGGCTTCTGGTTTATGTGGGGCACTCTTGGATTTTTGGACTGAAGAGAAAAACCACAGTGTTTGTTCTAGAAGTATTTGTTGAGATCCTGCTTTGTGTGAGTGAGGCACTATATACTACAAACTAGGCATATAAAATAAAATATCCCTACTCTCAAAAAGCTTATTGTCCAGTGGGAGAGACAGATAAGTAGACAGTGTATAAGTACCGTAGTAGGCATGAATTTTAGATATATAGAATAACAACATAACCTGAGTGGTGGGAGACTAAGGGCTGGGAGTAGGGGTGTTTATCAGGAATTATTTCCTGGAGGAAGTAACAGTTGAATCCTGAAGAGCAAGTAAGAGTTCAGCTATAAGAGGCAAAGGAATATTCAAGACCAAGGGAAGCAAAGAAATTGGTCCAACTAGTGGCCAAAGCTGGGACAATTTGAGCAACAAAATAAATAAACTAGTATTGGAGTATAGATTATAACCCAAAATATAAAATAAATATTCATGAGTACTTACTGATGTAAGTGCTTGAATAAACAAAGGGAGAGGTGTGAGAAGTTTCCCATGCAGAATTCCCAATTGTGTAAGGGGTTAGAATATAATGCCTTACTCCTTAAAAAAAAAAAAAAAGACCTACTGTACTCTGAAAGCAAGTCAATATGAACAGCTTAGATCTAAAGTTTTTATTTAAATTCTAGGTAGCTATCATACAGTGTAATAGTTTCGGGTGTACAATATAGTGATTCAACAATTCTATACCCAGCGCTGATCGTAAGTGTAACTCTTGATCCCCTTCACCTATTTCATCCATCCCCCCACCCACCAGCCCTCTGGTAACCATCAGTTTGTTCTCTATAGTTAAGAGTACAGTGGGGCACATGGGTGGCTCAGTGGGTTAATCAACCAACTCTTGGTTTCAGCTCAGGTCATGATCTCAGGGTTGTGAATTCGAAACCCCGAGTCGGCAGGCCCCCGCACTCAGTGGGGAATCTGCTCGAGGATTCTCTCTCTCCCTCTGCCCCTCCTCCCACTCTCCCTTTCTCTCCCTCTCTAAAATAAATGAATAAATCTTAAAAAAAAAAAAAAAGTACGGTATGGAAAGAAGTAATTTGACAATGGAGAAACCTGACAAACACTACCTTACCCAGGTGATCAGGGTCAACATCATATGTTATGTCATGTTGGTAGTAGGTACTCCTGATATGTTGTAATGAAAATGGCACTTTATTTTTTTTAAAGATTTTATTTATTTGTTTGACAGAAAGAGGGAGCGAGCGCAAGCAGTGGGACCAGCACAAGCAGAGGGAGAAGCAGGCCTCCCGCTGAGCAGGGAGCCCGATCTGGGGCTTGATTCCAGGGCCCTGGGATCATGACCTGAGCCGAAGGCAGACGCTTAACCGACTGAGCCACCTGGGCACCCCGAAAATGGCACTTTAATTCTGTGGTTTTCCTCCCAAAAATTCATAACCCCAGCCAAAATGAGAAAAATACTAGGTAAAATGCCTGTTGAGGGACATCCTACTAAATAACCACTACTCAAAACAAGGGAGGTGAGAAACAGTCACAGCCGTGAGGAGTTGAGAAGACATGACTAAATGTGATATAACATCCTAAATGGGATCACGAAACAGAAAAGGGCATTACATAAAATCCAAGCAAATCTGAATAAAGTATGGGCTTGATTTAATTTGTGAGTATCGATTCATTAATTGTAACAAATGTACCATAATAATGTAAGATGTTAATAATAGGGGAAAATGGGTGTAGGATATATGAGAACTCTTGCTTCCTTTGCAGTTTTTCTGTAAATCTAAAAACACTAAAATAAAAATTTTACCAAAAGTAAATAAAAGTTATGAGGATAGATTCAGTATATACAAAACAAAGTACAAGACAGGAGTGCCAGTTGAAGCTGAAGAAGTACACAGAATAACACAATGATCTGTTTCAGCTGTCACTTTTAAAAAAAAAGGTAAACATGGAGTTTAGAGGGGGTTTAAGTTGACTAAGA